TCCGCTCCGCTCGGCGAGACCCGGCCCATCCCTGCCGGGTTAGGGTGGCCCTGGCCCTGCGCCTTCACTGCATCCATCGCAGGCCCGGGCGGCCCGGGGACGTGGGTGGGACACACGAGAGGACGCGAGATAGCCGCCTCCCTCCCAGGCTTATTTTCGCTCTGCCCTACACGCGGCGCTTATCTTTCTTGGCTTCGCTTACCGCTCTCGCGCTCCCTCCCTTGTAGTCTCTGAAGGTTTAACCGGTTCTCTCCGGATTAAGCTTTGAGAGTGCCAAAACCCTACGTAGTGCACCTGTTTTTATTTTCCTTTTGTTTCCTTAACTCTGACGCTTTTCAAGGAGCCAACAAGAGCTCAAGAAACAAAAACTACTATGTAAAAGACGTACCGTGCAGGCTGCACAAAGATGTTGACCTCTGTGGAACTCAAACGGTATGGACGGTGCTGAAGATAATACTGTGAATCACTCATCAAAGCTCCCAGCTTGGAAATTTTTATGCTTCCACCAACATACACACACAAAAAAAAAAGGTGCTTTATTGGAGAGACCAAAAGGAATCTACATTATACCGTGAATAATTTTAATAGCTTTTGTTTTGCCAGCTTCTGTGTTGGCCAGATTGGCATCTACTTCCAGGGAGGGCACTTCTCCATTTCGGCTTTCCAACTAGTTGGGACTGTAAACTGTACCCGTAAAATGGAACTTTAAAAGTTACATTTTTTTTTTTTTCCTTTAGAAACAAGTGGCCTCTCCAGACTTCCTCAAGCCTGGGGCATCAACAACGGCTCCTTCACTCTGTTCAGCCCAGGTGAATGGACAGAATATTCAAATGCTGGCACCTAGAGGTCGAGCCCACTTTCATTTTCTTAGGCACGGGAGGGAGAGTCTTGGCTTCTGAAGGAATGAAACAAGCCTGAACTTGTCTGTTGGCTCTTTGAATTCTGTCCCCCGCTGTCCCTTGCTATAAAAGACCCAGTGCGCCTGTAGACAGGGGAAGGATGATTTAAAGCAAAACAGACCCTCCATTTCCTTGGAGCTCTCTTTGAATAAACCCTTTTTTCTTTTTACTAAAATAAATGGCCACCTTTGATTCGCTTAGCAGCAAGCAAACAAACAAGCGTTTATGAACCTAAGTGGTGGGTAGCAGGATTACCAGTGCAAGCCACCATGCCGGATAGTTTATTTTTCGTTTGTGGTTTTGTGTGTGGCATTGGGGATTGAACTTGTCACATCCAGGAGTGGCTAGCAAGCCACAGCTCCACTGGAAAACGCAGATCCTGGCAATCTTGAACCCCGCTTTGGTAAAGAACTACAAAAGCCGAGTTTAAATTAAGAGGATTTATTTAAAGGTGCAGAAAAGGAGGGAGTCCTTTCATTAGGACTAGTGCCTTCACCGTCCCCATGTGGGTACCTGAAAGTTATCACCACCATCTGCCTTGCTCTCTTGGCTGTCTTTGATCCTAACCAAGGCATGTCTGCCTGCCTCGGCAGTTTGATGTTTTTCTGTCCCTTTGTGATAGGTACGTATGGGGGAAGGCCATAGAAGGGTAACTTCAAATTAGTGATTAA